ACGTTAATCTCATCCAACTATAGCTTAGTTCCTATTTCTGCTTTTTCCCCTTCATCTGCACGGTCTTTACTATCTTATTGTTTTCGTCCGGGTTTTTGGGTTCCATTGTAACTACACCTATGTGCTGTGACAGCAGTCTTCAGACTTGGACGGAACACAAAAACGGATCTCACGCATCATGAACACTATTCTTCATTTCACCATCAGAGCCGTCTCAAGCTCTCATCTTACTGATCAACCCATCGCCACATTATATTTTATACATACAACATACAGACGCATATACACGTATTATAGGTATACTTTTGATAATAATCCCCCCCTTTCATCATCCCTTAGCCAAAACCATCATCATCCTGCCGGGTCATCCAACCAGACCCCGACCCATTAACCCCCTTATTCCATTCGTAGTCATCACACATACAGTATTCAAAGAAGAAGAAAAAGCAAGCTGTTTAGGCCCTAGTAGTCATCTTCTTAGTCGCCCTCTTGGCCTCTCTCTCCCTCTCCTTCTCCAGGAACTTCTTCTGCGCCTTGGCATCCATAGCGGCCAACTCGGCGTCGCGCTTGGCCTTGCGCTGCTTCTCACGCTCGGCCGCCAGCTCCTCGGCCTTTTCCTGCTCACTCGCCTTCTTGATGCCCTTGATCATGTCATCGCGGACCGACTTGACCTTGCGGAGGACCTCGGGACGGAAGTGAGCGACTTGCACGAGCTGGTCGGTCATGCGGAGGAAGTACTGGAAGATGGGCAGGAGAGGCTCGTAGTTGTTGTCCGAGGGGAGGCGGTACTTGAGGAAGATGCGCTTGCGGGGGTTGGTCTCCTCGACACTGGTAAACAGGGTATGTGTCAGTAACTATGCGTCGGGGCGTTTTGTTGGGCGGAGGGCGGATGATATGTACTCACGTCTTGGGCTTGTCAATAGGTTGGTCGGAAACGATGAGGTACTCAAGGAGGTCACCAGCAGAATCGGCAGCCTTGATCAGCTCAGGGGTAAGCAGAGCGTCGGTAATCTCAGCGCTCTCACTCATAACCGTCAACCACTGCGGAAGCTTGTTGTTGTCCTTAGTGTAGGTAAGGGAGACGTCGTAGCGCTCGTCGCGAACCTGCTTCATGCTCTCCTTGTGGACAATGGCCCAGACGAAACCGTCGAAAGTGCTCTTCTTGTCGCTCTGACGGAGCTCAGCCGCGCCGGGCATAGCAGGAACGGTAAGCGCCTCCTTGCCGTCGAAGGGATACAGGGTGGCCTCGACGGAATCGGTAGGTTGAGCGTAGCTGTCCCAGAAGAAACCAATGACATTCTCGGCGAGGCTGATGAAAGGGTTGAAGCGCTTGACCAGGGTGAGCTTGACATCCACAAAGGCAACGTTGACACGGCCGGTGGCGTAGGTCGCGAACTCGAAGAGACTCTTCTCCTTGAGGATGGCGTCACCATTCTGGGAGTTGGCATCGGCCAAAGCCTGAGTGAGCTCATCACCGGACTTGTCCGAGAGAGCCCTGGGCACGCCGGAGAAGCCAACAAGGGCAAACTCGGTGTCCAATGTCGAAGCATGGGCGCGAATCCACTTCTTGGCCTTGGAACGGTTCAGACGGGCACCGAAGAGGTGGAGGACCAGCACGACGGTGATGGCGGCCAGAATGAAACCTTCGGCCTTGAATTCGGAAAGGCTATGGCGCTCGTGCACATTGTACCACTTTGTGTAGGGGACCACGGTCTTTGCGGCCTGGGCACCGGCGAGGGTGGTCGTTACGGGAACGATGGGGATGGGGGACGGGTCGGCGCCCTCTGCGAAGTCGGCGAAGTCTGGGGTGCAAAAGGTCAGTCATCCCATTCAGTTGAATCGCATTTGAGGGTTCTGGAAGCGAAACAGAGGCCCATTGATCGACATTATACAAGCTCTGGTGGGTAGAGCAGCTGGGATAACTAGAGCCCAGCCCAAGCAACCGTGTCTGACCGGGGCATCGTGAACATCGAAGCCGTTCGCTTGTTGGGCACGACCTTGATTAGGGGCATGAAGGTGGTTTCCAATTTGTCCCGCAGGTAGAATTAAAGATCAACGCCACATACCAGAATCACCCGCCTTGTCAGGAATGACGCTGGCAGGCTTTGCGCCGCCAAAAAGGTTGTTGATCACGTTCGCCATGATATCGTCTGCTGGCGTAGTTGGCGCGGTGTGGCCACAATTCGAGCTTCTGGAGCTGAAGCTTGCGATATGGAACTTATGACGGGGGGATTCCAGGGAGCTGGTGCACGAGCCAATTCAGAGATACTGTCCGTGCTTCTTCGGGAAGCCCCACTTTCTCCTCCAACGACACGCTTCCACTGCTGAACGCTACTACTTGGGGGTTGTGGTGCAGTGGTGGAACTTTTCCTCAACCCTACTTATAGAGTGGGAGGAATTTTTTTAATAGAATAATGAAATGTTATAGGGCAATCTGAACTATAGTTAAAAACTGAGAAAGCTATTAATATATTAATACTCGCAAACCAAACAACTACAAAATTAATTTTTGAAAATATACAAAAATTTTAAAAGAGTTAAAAAAGGCTTTCAAATAACCATTTTTCAACTTGCATTAATTTTAGCCTAGGTAGAAAGGAATGATAAAAGAAAAAGATTTGAAGTGCACCAAACTTTAAATTACTAAAAGATACGCTTTACAGATATACTTATTTAACTTTAGTAGCCAAAAAACACTTTTTCATCTGTCATACTCTCTCTAATAGAAATTATTTGCTGCAATGCTCTAACTGGCTTATAATAATAGCACTAGTATAGAGATGCTATAGTAAACTATGCACTTGTAGCAGAACGGAGCGGAAGTGGTGGAAAGTATGACAGTAGTGCTGAAGGAAGTAGCGTAGTTGCAAAGACATTAGAGGAATATTGTAAAAGAGATCTTGGAGAGAACTCTGCTCTTAAGACAAAAGAGTACAGTGAACTCTACACTATAGGAGTAGATTGTATTATTGATATGAGAATCGTAGAATTTACACCTAATATAGGAGATCACGAGAATGAGGCTATATTATATATAAATAAAGGGTAAAAGAGAGATTCTCTCAAAAAAAAAGCCTGGCTTCCAGCTAGCCGTCTGCACGCAGTAGATATGCAGCGCAGCGAGCTAAGTAGCTTGAGCGCAGGGCAACAACTGAGCAGGCACCAGAGCCTCTATGGCAGCCCAGCTAATCTGGGCTGTCATAACTAGTCTAAGCTGTTACAGCGCTGGCGGATGACTATATCACTAAGCTATGTTCTAAAAGAATACAAATGACCGAAGCTGGCAATTTGGTTGCTCAAGTAGTCTTATATAGTTGTGATGGCAGTCGATAGGCACAACTGCAAGGCTGCTATTATATAAGCTATAATGCAGAATATAGCTAACAATACTAGGAATCCAGTGATTCCAGTATCAATTATATTGCTTAAATTGTGCTTGCTTGCTTACTTACTTAAGAAGTAACTAACTAAAGAAGAGAAGAGGTTTTTATATACACGAACGTTAAGTATTGTCACAGGTTGACATTGACTATATAGTGTGCATTCCGAGTTCTGCCTTGCAAGCAGAACATCGTCCTATCTTTTGTAGGTTTGGCCGTCTGGGCATATGCACCCTAGCCTGTCATAAGTATCTAGAAGCTTCTAGAGTATAAAAGCTTCTGTAAGTTGATAAGAGTACTTGTAGGAGCAGTATATTATAAAAAGAATGAACTGAATTTATGAGCTTCTGGTGTATTCTATAATGACAAATCAGTTTAGAAGAAATGCTGAACAAGTTAAAGAATTACAGAACATAGTGACAAAACTTCTGTATTCTAGCATGTTCTGTGGAAGCTAAGTGGACTGATTCTATAGAAGAAATAGTTTAATTAGCCTTCTATACTACAAGATAGTACAAGACAGTTACAAGGCACAGTACTAGCCACACGTTAACAGAAATAAAAGTTCAAATTTTTTAATTTCGCTTTCTAATACTAAAAAAAGCGTATATGATTTTTAATAAAATTTTTAAATTTTTTTAGAGTAGTTTTGATGCAATATTGTGACAAAAGGCAGGCTGATCTGCCTAAGTAGG